GTGGATCACCTGAGGTCAGGAGTTCGAGACCAGCCTGGCCAACATGGCAAAATCCCGTCTCTACTAAAAATACAAAAAATTAGCCAGGTGTGGTGGCAGGCACCTGTAATCCCAGCCACTTGGGAGGCTGAGGCAGGAGAATTGCTTGAACCCAGCAGGCGGAGGTTGTAGTGAGCCAAGATTGTGCCATTGCACTCCAGCCTGGGCAATGAGAGCAAAACTCCATCTCAAAAAAGAAAAGAAAAGAAAAGAAAAGAAATGACACCATCCTAAAATGACAAGCATCCTTCTTAAAATGACACCTTGAGCAGAGTCCCTAAAAGGGACAGTTGAGGCCAGACTCAGTGGCTCATGCCTTGCAATTCTGAGGTTTGGGAGGTCGAGGCAGGAGGACGCCCTGAGGCCAGAAGTTTGAGACAAGCCTGGGCAATATAGTGAGACCCCATCTCTACAAAAAATACAAAATTAAAAAAATTAGCTGGGCATGGTGGTGCACACCTGTAGTCCCAGCTACTCAGGAGGCTGAGGCGGGAGGATCGCTTGAGCCCAGGAGTTTGAGGCTGCAGTGAGCTATGATCACAATATTGCACTCCAGCCTGGGTGACGAAGCAAGGCCCCATCTCTATTAAAAAAAAAAAAAAAAAGGAAGGAACAGTTGTGAATGCCAGCAGACCCCCACTGTCTAGTCAGCGACATTCAGTCTCTTGGAGCTGGGCACAAAGACAGTCCATCCCCCTGGGGAGGTTGCTCTCCAGGTCACAAGGTATAGAACCAAATCCCCCTACTCTGGGACTTCGCACTCATACTTTTTGAAATCAGAAATTTAATCCTTTTTTTTTAAAAATCAAGATCTTGATATGGGATAATAAAGTTACCAATGAATAGCCCTGCACAACATAGGAAATGTAATAAAAGGTGAAGGCAATAAAAGGTGAAGCTTCCAGTCACTCCACAGTGATACCCATTCGTAGGAAATAAAAGTAATTATCACCTGCCCAACCTGGTCGGCTCACTCTGCGTGCGCGGAAGAAAACCATTTCAGAACTTTATTTCCTATATTGAATGTCGATAATTGGATGTATTTATAAGTCTCTCTGGAAGAAAACAGCTTGTGATTTCAAGATGGGAAAACAGTCTTCCAAACAGTGAGAAACAATATAGTCCCCATTTCCACACACACAAAAAGAGCTTGTTTCCTTCGATGTTTTCAGGTGCTATTGGAATGATTTGCCTTTCCGAAGCCACTGTTCCATTTCTCATCTCGAATTGCCTCATAGACCCCGGCAAAGCACTCAGCAGGGACCACTTCATCTGAGGCGGTGACGGGGGCTTCCTTGGAAAGGCCCCTCAGCTCTGCCTGCCTCTTTTCTACAGGAAGATAGATGCCCAGGTGGGCTGGGTTGGGGGAGAAAGGACAGGAGGAGTAGAATGTGATGTGGGGGCTCCTGGAAGGAGGGGGCTGATGGATGGTGGTGACAGCTGGGGTGTGGGCCTGGAGGAAGGAGCAGGCCACACAGGCCTCTGGAGTGGGAGAGCTGTGGCTATTGCTGCAGGCCCTGCAAAAGCCCAAGGCTGGGATCGGCCAGAACTAGGATGGAGAAATGGCCTCCTGGGTATTCCACGCCCACCACTCTCCTGGCCTTCCCCCTTGGGAAGACATTGGGTTGCCATATGCCACCCTGCCCCTATCTCACACCCACAGCCCCCTCTATTCTTCCTCTTCTGTTTATTCGGTGCTGGCTTTCCGCGTACAGTCTTCTATTCTCAGCAAAAGCAAACAATCGCAAAACACCCAAATGCCATCTTGTATAGGGCTTTGACCATCTGAGGCTGGTGGTCCCCGTGCAGTGGCTTTACTGGCTCTTATTGGCTCTTTTCAGTTCTCTCTGCTAATCCTCCTGAGCTCCTGCCGGAGAGAGGGGTTTGGATCAGCAGTTTCCAGCTCAGAATCCCCCAGGATCTCCCCATTAGCCAAAAGGAAGCAGGACCCTCGAAGCCCCGTTCTGAGGCCCTCCCAGATGGTGGGTTCCCCAGGGACAGTGTGCAGGGCTCCTCTACCTCCGTCCACAGACCGAGGATCCTCTGGGCAGGGGCAGGGTCTGGGTCCCTGGCCCTCATAGCATGGCCAGTCCCAGAGTGGCACCGTGGGCAACAACTGGGCGATGCGGGGCAGAACCAGCATCCAGGCTACCTCCAGTGCGGTCCCACAGAGCCTCTGATACACCAGTGCCCTCAATCCACAGCAGAAGGTGGACACGGCTCTTCCTGGGACCTCCCCTTCATGGCCCAAGGGTGACTCGTGAGTCACAGCCTAGCAGGCCGCCACATCTGGGCCTGCCATCTCCAGGCAGCCAGCTATCAGCAGCATCCATGGAGCTGCAAGAGTGGGGGCTAGATTGTGGGGAATGGGTGGAGGAGGGAAACCTGCCTGGACACAGTGTCCCGGGACAGAAGAGGTGTCTTCCTAGGGTGAAGCTTCTTTTGCAAGTCCTGGCAGGGGCAGAGGGGGGCCTTCTAGAGAATGATGCTGGGCCGGCTACTGGGCTACCAGGCTGACCGAGTGCGGACACCTCCCAGCCACCTGTAGGGTTTGATGAGGGGAGACTGTTTCAGCCAAGGGCCTGTGACCTCGGAGGCAATGCCGCGTGAGAGTGCTGCCTGGCGCGCTGCCTTGGCTGATTTACACACTCCCACTTCGACTCTCTAAAATCAATCTTCCCCCAATTGCCTCCTGGCTCCCAGCAACGTCCTGGGTCTGCCCTGCATGAATAACTACAGTCTTCTCCCATACTCTGGGCAGCTTCTGGAGCCGTTGCCAGAGCCTCTGAGGGGGAGGGGTGAGGGGGGAGGGGTGAGGGACAGCCCCATCAGAGCCTCTGATGGGGAGGAGCGAGAGGCTAGGGGCAGCCCTGCCAGAGCCTCTGATAGGGAGGGTTGAGGGGTGAGGGGCAGCCCTCCCAGTGCCCTTGATGGGGAGGGGAGAGGGCAGGGGACCTGGGTGGGCAGGGGTCATGGGCAGTGCCTCCTTATTACTGTACACAAACAAGGGAGTTCCACTCAGTTAGTGGGTGCCTTCCTCCTATTATTTTATGAGTGTTTGGGATAATGACTTCGTTTTCATATTAGTAAGCACACAGAGCTGGCAGCTGGCTTAATTTTGACATATTTTATGTCAAAAGAAATGGTAGGGGGCAGGTGCAATGAGCTGGGGGGATAGGTTTTCCTTCCTTGAAGGCGCGTGGAAAGCTCATTCTGCTCACCCTTTGTTATTACATATATATTTTTAAGTGCCACTTATTAGGGAGTTGAGTTTCTTAAGCTGAAGGCGGAGCTACTGCTTAATGGGGGGGTGTTCCAAGTTCTCAGGGCCCCTGGGCCAGGCAGTGGGGTATGAATTCTTACCTCTGTTCTCTTCCCTGGAAACTGGCAAGAGGGTGGAGAGAGCTCCTCTTGGACCTTGCCTGGAGGTCAGGGACCCCTGCAAATTGCCCACGTGTTGTGGGAAGGGGTAGAAGGGATGAGTCCCCCCTCTTCCATTAGCTCTCATTTTCCTTATCTGGGTCTGGGAGGTGGGAGGGGCTCTCTGGAGGGGCCACCATCCTCCTGGCAGCTTTGGCCTCTACGGACTGTGCCTGCAGGTTTGAGTGTGAAACCTGAAACCCTCTAGCAGCCCGGTGAGGTGGCCCCATTAGCTCCCCCCTGACATGGGGACAGCAGGGATGGTACTGGGCTTCCAGGTAACCGTGCTGCATGCTCTTAACTACCCTGCTTATGGCTGCCTCCCTTCTTCTGATTTAAGGGGCCTATTCTCCTCCCTGCTTCATGGGGACAAACAGCAGCTGCTTCTCCAGTCATAGCCCCTGGCTCCCACCAGCCTGGTGGTGACCCACATCATTGTCTCAATAAAGAAACAAGAAGCATCCCCCAATCCACAGCCTTTGATCAGAAGCCACTTCCAGCTGTGTGACAGTGGCAGGCTGGGGTCAGGAGCCCCACAGGCCTACCTGGGCCACCCATCCACCTGTCCACACACATCTGTACACCCTTGTGTGGCCCCGGGTGCCAGGGATGCCCTCCCCCAACAGTATGGGGCCCCCTTCCTTCACATGGGCAATGAGGTCACTCCTCAGGGTATGGCTTCATGAGCTCAGCCCCCGTGTGAGCACTGTCTGGCCTCAGTTTCCTCATCTGTAAAATAGACTTAAAGATAGTCTCGACCTCATAGGGCTGTGGTGAGGTTTCTATGAGCTCACATGTGCAACGCATTTGGGCCGTGCCTGTAATGCCCTGACCATGTTGGCAGTAGGGAGGGCAGCGTCTGCTGCAGGGTCCCTACCCCTTCTCTGTAGGACTCTGCACCCAGTACCAGTGCCCAGTGGGGCAGAGAAGTAAGCCTTCTGGCAGACTCTCCTTCCTAAACCCTTCTCGGCTGTGCCCACTTCTCGCCTGTCCTCCTCCCTGGCTTCCCTTCCTCCAGCTTCTCCATTCGGTAGCCCAGGAAACCTAGAAAAGATCCTACCAGACTTAACTCACAGGCCCCATAGTGGAGGCCCCGCAGGGTCTGGCCCTTACTTCCCTTAGGCTGCCCCTCTCTAGCGCACACTCTTCGGGCCGCAGGACCTTTAGAGTCCTCCAGTTGCCCCCCGGCCTTTGCTCAAGCCCTTTCCCTTCTTTAACAAAAATCCCCACCTCTGCCCCGACCCTAGCCTGAGTCAGTCTCCCTTCTCTCCTCTCACGTGGTTTCTTTATTCCTATGTGTTCTTCTCCCGGGTTGGCTGGGACGCCAGATCGGGGGCTGAACCAGAATCAAGGTGTCCTCTGCTTCAGGACCTCCCTCCCACCACGCAAAGGAGGAAAATCTACCCGTTACCCCTACCTACTGTCTCCCGTAGGCAGCCCGCCCATTTATGCTGGTCGCGCTCTTGGGCCCGCCCCTCTCCGGGAGCCCCGCCCCTTCAGGGATCCGCCCCTCCCCAGGTACCGCCCCTTCTCGTACCGTGGAGTTTGGCTCCGGAGGAGGGGGGTCCAGGACTCCCGGCCCCACCCCCTGCCCCGCCCATTCCCCTGCTCTCACCCCGCCCCACGCATTGGGATCCGGAGGGGCTCAGCTGACGCCGCGCTGCACGTGACGCCGGTGCCGGGCGAATATGGCGGCGGCCACCGGGTGAGTACTGCACCTCCCTCGCTCTTTCCCGCTGGCGTAGAGAGGGGCATGGGTGTCCCGGACGGACCGCGGGTGAGAGCCCCAACGGGGCTCGCTGAATGCCGCGGGTAGGTGCCTCTTCCTGTCGGCCCAGAGTCCGAGCGCCGGTCGGCGAGCTTCACGCTCCGAGTCAGGGTCAGCGCGGGGGCCGCAGCCCCTCTCCACCCTCCTGGCTGGCTCAGGCCCTACCTGCGCGCGTCTGGCGGCCCCACTGTGTGCGGCTGCGGTGGGGGCTGGGGTCGACACGCATGTTCGCTGCCAAGACCCCCAGGTGGGAGGGCGGTGTTGCGAGGACCGCAGGCACCCGGGCGCTTCCCGGAGGAGGCGGTATTTGAGACGGACTTGGAATTCCCTTTTCCCCGCAGGGCACGTCCACATTTCTTTCAGGGGCCAAATGTCACCTCCTCAGGGAATCCTTCTCTAACCATCTATCCCACTTTTTGTGCCCTTATCATTACCTGATAAACCATATAGAGCATTGTTTGTACTTGTTCGTTATCTTCTCTGCATTTAGAGTGCAAGGGCAGGTCCCTTAACCTGCTTCTCACTAGTCCAGTGCCTTGCACACAGTAGGTGCTCCATACTGGGCTGAATGAAAGAAGGCTGAGTAGTCCTAGTGGGAGGAAGGGTGGACAGATGGGTTTACCGGATCGTTGGGCGGAATCTCCCAGATAGGGAGCATCTGAGCCCAGGGTAAGGGACAAAGGTTGAGAGTTCAGAGTGTTCTGGGGACAGGGATGCATGCCTGGGGCTGGAAGGTGTGGTGTTCCAGGTGGCTTCTTCAGACTTTGCCCTGAGGGGCTGGAAGGGTTTTGTTACAAGCTGCTGGATCTGTTTTAAAAGAATAGGCTCCCCTGAGCTATGTGTGAGTTCAGTGGGAGAAGGTGTGGGTCTGGTGGCTCAGTGGGGTAGAGGGGGCTTGGTGTAGGAGGGGGCAGTATTCCAGATGCCAGGTTGGCAACTGAGGTCAGAATGGGGGAATCTAGTGGACTGAATGCATCTCTCTTTTTAAGATGTGGGGAAAATGGTAACAGAAAGTGGGTTCTCAGTTGGCCCCCAAGGTTGAGGGAGCTTAGAACATACAAATCAAACATTCTGTGGGCACCTGCTGTATTCTGGGAATAGCATTGGGCCTTCCCTTAGGTACTCACAGGCCACTGGAGCAGATGGACACATGGGACTCTGTCATCCATCTGCTTGCCTGTGGTGTTGGCATTTGCAAAGGAGGAACATAGACTCTGAGCTCAGGGAAAGTGCGGGAAGGCTTCACTCCCTGGATAACTTTTGTGCTTATCCTTCAGCAATGAGACTCCCTTTGGGTAGAGAACAGTGCAGACAAAGTCTCAGATGGGTGTCAAGGAACTCAGGGTCAGATCTTTGAATCCAGCCTGTGACCCTTTTAAAGGGTAGAATGAGCAGGCTGGTGCCCAGCTGTGGGTGTGCTGTCTCTCTGTTTAGGCTGGCTTGGTGCTCACAGGGAGTGCCAGGGGTTGCATTTGGGTTCAGGACTCAAAGCTGGCCTGAGACCTGCTGCTCTCCTGCAGGAACCAAGCTGATGTCTGGATGGGAGCAAGTCTGGAACTGACTGGATCCTGGAATGAGAGCTTTTCTTTTTCTCTTTCTTTTTTTGTTTTTGTTTTTTTTGAGACGGAGTTTTGCTCTTGTTGCCCAGGCTGGAGTGCAATGGCACGATCTCGGCTCACTGCAACCTCTGCCTCCCGGGTTCAAGCGATTCTTCTGCCTTAGCCTCCCGAGTAGCTGGAATTACAGGCGTGTGCCACCACGCCCAGCTCATTTTTTGTATTTTTAGTAGAGATGGGGTTTCACCATGTTGGCCAGACTGGTCTCGAACTGCTGACCCCAGGTGATCCACCCACCTCAGCCTCCCAAAGTGCTAGGATTACAGGTGTGAGCCACTGCTCCTGGTCCCAGAATGAGAGCTTTTCTAGCAGAACAAATTCTCTGGGCCACCACACAGGGTAGGTGAGGGAGGCAAAACAGAGTGGCAGTGTCATGCGCGTCCATGTGAAGAGACCACCAAACAGGCTTTGTGTGAGCAACATGGCTGCTTATTTCACCTGGGTGCAGGCGGGCTGAGTCCGAAAAGAGAGCGAAGGGAGATAAGGGCAGGGCCGTTTTATAGGATTTGGGTAGGTAAAGGAAAATTACAGTCAAAGGGGGGTTGTTCTCTGGCTGGCAGGAGTGGGGATTACAAGGTGCTCAGTGGGGGAGCTTTTTGAGCCAGGATGAGCCAGGAAAAGGAATTTCACAAGATAATATTGCTTAAGGCAAGGACTGGCCATTTTCACTTTCGTGGAATGTCATCAGTTAAGGCGAGGCAGGGCATTTGCACTTCTTTTGTGATTCTTCAGTTACTTCAGGCCATCTGGGCGTATATGTGCAAGTCACAGGGGATGCGATGGCTTGGCTTGGGCTCAGAGGCCTGACAGGCAGTTCTTAGAGAGGTGTGCTATTGAGAGGGTGTGGGAGCTTCCAGAGCCCGGCGGTCTTCTTGGGAGGAGCCATCCCAGTCTGGTATGGGTCTTTCCTGTGGGTACTTTGAGCCTGAGGTTGACCCCAGTGGCCTCCTTAAGAGCAGATCGATTAAGTATGTTTCCGGCTCAGCTCCCAGCTGCACCCACAGGACAGATCATAGAGTCAGGCATAACGAGGCATGAAGCCAGCAAGTCACGGCCATGGCCATGGGCTCCCTGGGAGTTGGATTTGGTTGTCTGTAGAATCCTACTGGAGCCTGGGACAGAGGGGGTCCATGAGAGTTCTAGGTGACTGGGGTGTGCCCCATATGATTTGGGGAGTAGGGGAAGCCCTAAACTAGCATCTCAGATTCAATTTGAAACTCAAGAATCTACTCTGGGAGTGTTTCAGGGTTGATCCTACTTTCTCTTGCTAGTCTGGGTATAGGCTTCAGGTTGAGACAGAGTGCTGTGACGTCACCTCCCATCCCCTCATGGAGAGGGGTCCCTATCCCATGGCACTTGGTGGCACTGCTGTCTCCTTGAGCCATGCTTTGAGCATTCCACAGACAGGGTTGATAATTTGAAATATCTCAGCTCCAGCCAGACCTGTCTGCATCTGCTCCCCCACATGGCTTTTTCCATTCCATTCTTCCCTTGCACATTCACCTGCCATCCCTGAAATGCTCTTGTCCTCTATGTGATTGTTCACATTTTTGCAGGCCCAGCTCAGATGGTTCCCTTTCCCAGAAGCCTTTCCCAGCCCTCCGGTAAAGGCTTAGTGCTCAGAACTCCAGAGCACTCGGTTTTCTCCCCAGCAGGACACATTTCCACGTCTGCCCATTGTAGGTTGAGTTACTTCCCTTCATGCCTCTCTTAGCATCCTTAGAGCCCAGGGGTTCTGTTGTACCCTCAGGGCCAGTCTGTGGCTGCCCTGTGATTGGTGCTTGGTGAAATGAATGAAAAAGGGATTTACTCTAAATTAGTACAGCATCCCATCGTGCTTTCCTGGGAGACTCCTAGTGATTGAGGGAAGGAGTCACGGTGACAGAATTCCGAGGAATAGGATGAAGAAATAGCTTTAATTCTTTAAAGCTTTAATAGCTTTAATTCTTTCACTGAGTGGCTCCCAGGAGCTGTTGCAGAGCCAGAAAGAGGCAATAGGTGAGCTGCCCTGGGCGTGTACCTGTTGGGCCATAGGTTACACTGGAGTCAGCATTCTCCTGGAGAGTCTTCTGCAGGACTCAGATTGTGGGTCACGAGCCCGACCCCACCCTAATGTGAACCTTGCGCTCCAGGAGCAGAAGACTCAGGCCGACTCTGGGGGCTGGGGATGGGTGGGCTTGTGGGAGGCAGGCTGGCCACTGAGTGTCCTTCCCTGGCTCTTCCCCAGGTCCTGACTCCACACAGCCCTCTCTTGGTTTCTGTGTATGCTGAGAGGTGCAAGGTGGAAGATGCTGGTCAGTTGCCTCAAGGTCCTCTCCAGCTGTGGCAACCCTCTCCAGCCTGGCGCTTACGGTCAGACACCCAGTGGGCTGCCCGAGCGTCTGTCTGGTGCCTGGCCCCACGCTGGAGGCTGAGGGGAGGAGGTCCTTGGCTGGCCTCTCCTGCTGGGAGTTTAGCAGTGTGGCCCTATCTAGAAGTGGCTCCACATTCTTTTTTTTTTCTGAGAAGGAGTCTTGCACTGTCACCCGGGCTGGAGTACAATGGCATGATCACAGCTCACTGCGACCTCCGCCTGCCGGGTTCAAGCGGTTCTTCTGCCTCAGCCTCCTGAGGAGCTGGGATTACAGGTGCCTGCCACCACGCCTGGCCATTTTTTTTGTATTTTTAGTAGAGATGGGGTTTCATTATGTTGGCCAGGCTGGTCTCGAACTCCTGACCTTGTGATCCACCCACCTCAACCTCCCAAAGTGCCTTGTTTACAGGCGTGAGCCACCGCGCCTGGCCAGTGACTCCACATTCTAGTGCAGAGATTTTTCCTTGTCTGTGCAGTGGACCCCACGGGCATCAGTGAAACCTACGCACCATTCTTGGCATCATGTTTTTTTTTTGTGTGTTTGTTTGTTTTTTTGAGAGGGAGTCTGACTCTGTCGCCCAGGCTGGAGTGCAGTGGCTTGATCTCGGCTCACTGCAACCTCTGCCTCCCAGGTTCAAGTGATTCTCCTGCCTCAGCCTCCCGAGTGGCTGGGATTATAGGTGTGCGCCACTATGCCCGGCTAATTTTTGTATTTTTAGTAGAGACAGGGTTTCACTATGTTGGCCAGGCTGGTTTCGAACTCTTGACATCAGGTGGTTCGCCCGTGTTGGCCTCCCAAAATGTTGGGATTATAGGTGTGAGCCACCATGCCTGACTGGCATAATGTTTTTAAATGCATGAAATAAGTACAGAATATTTCAAAAATAAAACCCAATTATTTGGAAATACAGTTATCAAAATGTTACATAAATTTGAGACAGGGTCTTGCCCTGTCCCCCAGGCTGGAGTGTAGTGTTGGGACCTCTGTTCACTGTAGTCTCTGCCTCCAGGGCTCAAGCAATCCTCCTGCCTCAGCCTCCCAGGTAGCTGGGACTACAACCACAAGCCACCATTCCTGGCTAATTTTTGTGTTTTCGGTAGAGATGGGGTTTTGCCATGTTGCCCATTCTGGTCTCAACTTCCTGCTGGGATTATAGGCATGAGCCACTGCGCCTGGCCCAACTACTTTAATTTTGAAGTTGTGAGGTGCAAAGTGATATTTCGAGATACTGCAACAGCAATAACGTGATATTAAAATACCTTTGATTTGTGCTGGTGACAGATTAACATGCATTGCTGACACTGAGTAGTTTGTTACTTATGTGAATAATTGAAGAAAATGTAAATTTGAATTGGAGGTTAGAGAAAATAAAGGTATAGCTTTTTCCCATCCAGGTAGATGGAGCCCCTGATTTTGAGGATGAATCCTTGGGGGTCCCTAGGCCTCAGGTAAGAGCCCTGCAGTTGGCTGTTAAGGAGAGGGTGGCCCAGTACTGATACGGGGGTGTGGGTTGTATGGAGACAGGGACGGCTTGCAGGGGCAGTGGCATCCTACCCTCCTTGGAGACTGGCCTCAGTCTTGGTCACTCCGTTCTTGGTCCTGGGCTGCTTACCGCGTCTTGGTTGTTGCCAGGGCAGCGGGGATCCTGGCCTCTGGGTCTCAGAGACTTGTTCTGTGGGTCTCTGAGGCCCTGGAGCTCTTGTGCCCTGTCTGTCTGCAGCAAAGCATGGCTTATTTACCTTGGGACGTGGGGATGATAATGGCTTTTGCCTTTTAAATTCCGGGTGCCACTTAACGAAAGCTGCAGCAGAAACCTGTTGGAGATGTTTTATTGGTGCTGCATTTGCTGAATTTGCAGGAAGAATTCATCTGTGTTGGCTCTGAGCCTGACAGTCTCTCTGGGGGTTTGGTTTCTGCCATGAGAAATCAAAGGGCATGTCTCTATAAAACTTTATTCCTTGGTGTCCTGTAATTAATGACTGTAGCGTATTGCCCTGCCTCGTGGCTCAGGCTAGCCCTTCTCATGCCCAGAGCCCTGCACAAGGTGGGTTCTGTTCTGGCGGAGCCCTGTGGAGAAGTAAGCATGGTTGTAGATTTTTTTTTTTTTTTTGAGACGGAGTCTTGCTCTGTCGCCCAGGCTGGTGTGCAGTGGCGTGATCTCGGCTCACTGCAAGCTCCACCTCCCGGGTTCATGCTATTCTCCTGCCTCAGCCTCCTGAGTAGCTGGGACTACAGGCGCCCGCCACCGCGCCCGGCTGTGGTTGTAGATTTTCTTTGCAGTGGCAGCTGAGTGCTCAAGGAGAAGGTGGCTTATCAAGTTTTCTGCTCAGCCCTTGGGATCCCAGTCCGTGTGCCCTGAGAAATTTCAGTCTCTCAGAAGGTTCTGAACAAGGGGAAGGCCAGCCCTTCTTCGAGCATTGCAGGTGGGGGCCAGGCTGGTGGCTGAGGATGGGCATTTTCGGCCGGTCATGCTGTTCGACGGCTGTTGCTGAGGCTGTCCATAGCAGGTCCTCGGTGTCATTGCCCCTGTGCTGTTGGGGACTCTGCAGAGATGAGTTTTGCCCCTGTGCCCATCCCACCATGGGCTTTCCCGAGTGAAGGGAAAGGGCGTGGGAGGCTGTGGGGGACATGTGAGCACAAGGTGCTGGTGACTGCACTTTCAGTTCCCGACGGCATGGCCATCTGGGATGTGGTCATGTTTACAAACTCTCACCGACTTCCCTCTGCCCTTTCATCCCGATGGCTGAGTGTGGCAGAAAAGCAGCCCCAGCCCAGAGGAAGCCCTGGCTGCTGGTGTCCACCCAGCCACCTGTTCACCCTCCTGGGAGGGTAGGAAGGGCATGTGGGGGAGCGGGAGGGGGCTGTAGTCATGTCAGCATGTGCGGCTGCTTCTGACCCTCCACCGTTCCTGGGCGGGCCGGGGCTCCAGGGCTGCTTCCTGCCCCGCTGCGGCTGATGTGGCATCTTCTCATCCCACAGCTGTGTGTGTGGCCCTGTGTGTCATTCAGCAGATATGTGTTGAGCGTTTGCTGTGTGTCGGGCAAGGTGCCAGGTGAGGGCATGCATGGCAGTGATCGAGGCAACCTGGAGCTCCATCTCCCAGTGTTTCCACCCGAGGGGGTGGACTGGAGAACACCAGGAAGCACCAGGCAGCACCCACTGCATTTAGGTTGGAAGGTGCTGAGTGCTAAGCGTTGTCCTGGCCAGGGACCTGGCCCCACTTTAGGAGTTTACTCCAGGGGGCCACTAAGGAGAGTGGAGAGTGGGGACGATATGCAGAGCTGTGCGCACATTAAGGGAACCCAGGAAAGAAGAGTGGGGAACCTGGTCAGAAACCCAGCAAGGGCCGTGCTGTGGGGCAGGGTGGCCTCATCAGAGCAGTGGCCCTGGATGGAGAGGTGCCCCCAGCCGTTTAGTTCCAGGGTCCCCAGGGAGGGAGCCAGGGGAGTGGATCCACTGTCCTCCTCCTCCTCCTCCTGCCCCCAGCCTCTTGTGCCTGCTGTAGGCTCAGCACGCCTGGAGGCAGGAGGCAGCGTGCACGCTGAGGAGGTTGGGTGAGTCAGCCTCTGGGCACAGTGCAGGGGGGTGTATCTGGAGAGCAAGTGGGGAAACCTCAGGCCAGGGACTAGTAGGGGGTTGGGCAAGGAGAAGAGTTGCAGGTTCAAAGAGGGAGGCTGGGGAAGACCATCCTGAGAAGGTCGTATTGGAGCCAAGATGTGCAGGAGGTGTCACCTGCTTGTGTGACCCTGGTAGGAGGGTCAGGGCCTCTGAGGGTCCCATGTGAGGTGAGTGTAAGAGGTGCCCCAGGCAGCTTCACGGTGCTGCACTGTGAGGGCAGGTTTCATCCGCAGCTTCACTGCAGTTCCTGAGTAGCCCTCTCTGCTCTCACCAGCTCTGGAACGTCCCTGCCTCCTTGACCTCCGTGCCCACCCACTGTCCCCTGGCTGGAGAGCCTGCAGGGGCTCCCTCCTGCATACCCCGCCCCTGCTTACTCCTCCTCCACCTCATCCCCATTGTCTCTCCATGCCCGCCCCGGCCTCCAGCCTGCTTGCTGGGACCACCGTCTGTTTATTCATTCATTCCATAGATAGCGACACCTGCTCTGTCCCTGCCTTCAGGAAGCTTACATGTTACCTGGAGGGCCAGCAAACAAATAAATGAAGAGTGATGGGGATTCTAGAGAGACGTGAAGAGAGCTGGGGGGTGGGGTGGGTAGGAAAGGGGCATTTCTGCAGAGGCTGGGTAAAAGGGCCCTTGGGAAGAGCATTCCCCACAGGGCACCGCAGCGGCAAAGGCTGGAGTGTTCTGGCTGTTTAGGGATGAGCGAGGATGCCCGTGCTGCAGCAGAGGAAACCAAGGGTGAACTGGGGGCCTGGATCCCTCGTGGCTGGGGAGTGAAGTCTGCTCTCAGAGAAGCCAGCCAGCACGGGGTCGGGCAGGGAGTGTGTGCTGGGATTGGCATTTCGAAAGGGCCATTCTGGCAGAAGGTGCAGACCAGGCCGTGGGGAAGCTGGGGCCAAGAGTGCCACTGAGAGTTGCCTGCAGTTGTCCAGACGGGACATGGGGCGGTGGCCCTGGGGATGGGGATGTGCATTGAGGGTAGAGTCCAGACCTTGCTGGTGGCCAGGAGGTGGGATGAGATAGGAGGTCAGGATGGCCTGCAGGACTGTCCAGGCGCAGGTGCTTTGTGTCGGGGGAGGCTAGGCAGGAGCGGCTTTGGTTCAGGGCCATCTTCTGCCTGCTGAGGGTGGCCGATGGGTCTGTGAGTCTGGAGCCGGACGTCATTGGTCTGCAGATGGAGATGGTCCTTTGAGCTGAGGGACTGGGTGAGCTCAGTTGAGCTGAGGGAAGGAGCCGGTTAGGGAAGAGGCCCCAGGGTTGGGCCAAGCTGGGCTCCAGCAGGGAGGTTGAGCTGGGAGCTGGGGGCCTGGCTGGTAGGGAGCCTGGGCCAGCTGCTGTTGGGGAGGGTTTCCACAGAGAGAGTGGCCCCCAGGGTCATGGGCACCAATGCAGCAGGACTGGGGACCTGCTGCAGATTCAGGAGTGTGCAGTCCCTGTGGCCTGCTGGGCAGTTGGTAGGGGGGCAGAGGAGCAGGGGGGAGGAGTCAGGACAGCATGGATGATGGAGGGGAGACAAGCCCCTGTGGTCCTCAGGGGGACCAGTGAGGAGCTATTTCTGGGTCAAAAGCAGGTAGAGCTCGGGCAGCTTGCCCCGTGCTGATGGGGGTCCCACGGCAGGCTCGGGCCTCCGGTCACCCCGATCTCAGGTGTGGGCATGCTTGGAGATGCTAACAGAGGCCTGTGTGGCTGTGTGTGCTCTTGCCTCTACAGACCCTCGTTTTGGCTGGGGAATGAAACCCTGAAGGTGCCGCTGGCACTCTTTGCCTTGAACCGGCAGCGCCTGTGTGAGCGGCTGCGGAAGAACCCCACTGTGCAGGCCGGCTCTGTCGTGGTCCTGCAGGGCGGGGAGGAGACTCAGCGCTACTGCACCGACACCGGGGTCCTCTTCCGCCAGGTGAGCCTGCCCCCTTGGCTGCAGGTGAGCGGGCCTGTGATGGGGTCGCTTGCCTGAGCAGGAGTTGGAGGCCCCAGCTTGGCCAGAGGTGCCTTTTGTGGCCCTCCCTGAGCCTCCGTTTCCTCGCCTGGGAAGTGGTCCAGGGGCTCCTTGAAGATGTAGAACTTGAAGATGTGGGGCGGCGGGTGGCCCACCTGCAGGCAACCAGCCTGGTCATGGTGGCCATGGCTGAGAGTCACTGGCAGCACTCAGTCCCCAGGTACAGGAACGTGAGGATACCCACCCAGGAAGACTGTGAGGCTCTGAGCTTGGCCCACTTTCACAGATCTTAGCATTACACCCATTTTGCAGATGAGAAAACTGAGGCTCAGAGGGAAAATGACTTGCCAAGAGGTGGAGCTGGGATTAGAACCTCGTCTTCCATCTCTAAATGTAGTGCTATTTTCTCCCCGCTGCCATGCCCAGAGCTGGAGCCTGATCACAGCGGGAACTTCAGAACCTCTCTGGGGCGGGCAGAGCCTAGGGAATGTGTCCATGCGGCATCCTGGCAAGAAGAGAGATGGGAATGTGAAGGGGAGCCGGGTGTGGAGAGAATATGGGAAGGCATGGCTTCCCTAGCTGAACCCTGTTGCCCCAGCACCCCACAGATGGGCTGAGACCCATTGCTGAGCGACCGCAGACAATTTTTTTCTTTACGAAAAGCACCTTCTGCCGGAAGGGTCCCGTCTGTCTGCTCCATTGTTCACACAGCTGCAAGCCTGCAGTCCCATGGCTGTGAGAGACATGGCGGTCTAAATAAGTTTTCTCTGGCCAGTCTTGATGCTTCTCCAGGTTTAAATATTCTGCGGCTTAAAAACCGATTTCCTAAATTCAGCTGTTGGCTCCCTTTCTGATGGTATGCTAGGCTAATTTTGGAAGAGATCCTCCTCCACCGTACCTATGTGACGTCCTTTTAGCGCAGCATTCGTCCCTAAACACTGAAGTCATCAGCCGCCCCGGGGGTGGGAGAGGGAAGTAAGAAGTCCTAAATGGAGGAATCCATTTCCGTGCAGATATCCGGCCTGGGCATTGGAATCTGGGGAGCGTCTTGCCTGCCTGCACGTGGCAGAGAGGCAGGGCTGAGCTGGATGTGTGGTGGTGCTGGGCGCCCTGTCATGGGCCTAGGGGGTGGGAATACAGGGGGGCTCAGGCACATACCCAAAACCTGCAGCATCAGGGAGGGCTCCCAGCAGGGTGGAGGAGCTGCCAGGTTGCCCCTTGCCAAACCACGGGAGGATGAACCGGGGAGTCGGGTGCCGAGGGGAAGGGATGTCTGGGGCTGGGGTAAGTTGCAAGAGGCTGTCGGTCTGAGCTGGCTCTCTGGGGTGCTGCGATGCAGCCACCGGTGCCTCCTTGCACCTCACATTCCACTGGCTAACAAGAGTTCTTGTTCCTGCTACAGGAGTCCTTTTTTCACTGGGCGTTCGGTGTCACTGAGCCAGGCTGCTACGGCGTCATTGATGTTGACACTGGGAAGTCGACCCTGTTTGTGCCCAGGCTTCCTGCCAGCCATGCCACCTGGATGGGAAAGTAAGGAGCAGCCTGGCTGGGGCACCGCGGCTACCAACCATGGGCTAGGGGTGGGGAGGGGAGGTGGAGGGGAGGTGGGATGGGAGGGCCGGGCTGGGCCTGGGGACGGGGAGTAGGGAAGAACTGCAGGAAGAAGGGCATGCGGTCAGGGCTGTGACAGCCTGCCTCGCACCAGAGCCCTGCAACCTTGGTTGGGAAGGGATGTTACAGCTGGAGTACAACTGTGTCGTAGGAGTTACTAAGAAATTATTTTAGGTAGACAGAGAGGAAAAGGGGTCCTTGGGAAGTTTTCTGGTAAAGCCCCAGCTCCTAAAGCCAGGCGGGCAACCTTTGATATGCAGATGCAGGCCGTTAGAAACTGATTCCCAAGGCCTTCTTGCCCTTGCCCCACATGTTCCTGGCAACATGGCTGCCCCCACGTATCCCCACATGTGTAGAACATCCATGGCACCCTGCATTAGCATATTAAAAGGCTAGGGTAGGAGGGCCAGCTTTTTCGTGGGCTATGTGAATAACATGCTTGGTCAAACCAATCCCCGAGCCCTATGCAAATCAGACACCACCTCCTCTAGCCTCTGCATATATACCTGGCTGGTGGCCACTGCACTTGGGGACCTCCTCTTTCAGCTTTGGAGTCCCCCTTCCTCTGTCTCTGTACGGAGGAACTTCTTCCTTCTGTCTTCTCCCTTCCTTCTTGTCTATTAAACTCTCCACTCCTTAAAACCACTCCATGTGTGTCCATGTTGTTTTTTCTAATTCGACTTGAGACCGAGAACCATGGTGTTCCTCCACTCATCAGAGCCCTGTCAGCTGGGGGCCTTGTTTGTTTAGAAGTGCAGTTTGTTAATCCTGAAATTCTAGCTTCCGCGCTCTGTGAAAACGTCTGAGGCTTTGGCCCTGGGAGGCCGTCACTCCTGCATGGCATTGACAGGTGTGGCATGGCCCTGTGTGTGTCTGAGGGTGGTGGGTTGGGTTGGGGTTGGGGGACCACCTTTCTGAGACCTGTTGCTGATATGCTGGGTGTGTTATTTGCTGCCTGCCTCTGCACACAGCGCAGGCCCTGCCCTCCTGGCCCACGTGTGAGATGGAGCAGAGGCTCGGGCTGCGGTGCACCTGCCTCCACTCTCCACGGTGCCTGCTGTTCCAGGTTCCCCCACCCCCGAGGAGCTGTTCTGCCTGCTCAGAGGTGCTGGGGTGGACGCTGTACTTAACCAGGGAGGTTTGAGGTGATCAGAGGATTCTGCTAAATGCTGGCCGCCTCGCTGCGTGTCATCTCCGCCTGGAGAGTGATTTTTCTGGGCTAATGTATAAATTGCAGCCTTTGCTGCCTGGTGCCCCAGAACGCTCATTACCAGGTGGGCTGGAGAGGCTGTGACTGGTTTGAGTGACAAGGCCCCTGGCTGCCACAGGGACTGGGCTCTGTGCCGAGGGCCGGGGCCACAGTGGGGCTTCCCCTGCTTCCAGCGCCCCCCTCCCCTCGCCCTCCCTTCAGTGCAGACTCCATTTCTGCCTTCGTTGGCTGTGGTGTGTGCTGCTCCTGCTGTCTCAGGGAGGGGGGTTCAGGCTTACAAGTTGGTGATCATTCTGCTCTTAGGCTGCTTGGCAGGATCCCAGCCTGGCAAGACTGAGATCTTTGCTGGGCAGGACTCAGCCGGGAGCACAATTGGCAGCAGCAGAAAAGAGGGCTGTTTCTCCTGGGGGTGATCTCCTGGCTCAGCCCCTGGGAAGAAGGGCACAGAGTGGACACACCCGGGCCGAGTGCCTTTGGGGCTTCTACCGGGCTGCCGCTCGGAGGCCCTCACCTGACGGTGCCTTCCCATCCTGTTGTGATCTTTACTGTCGACCTTCATCTCATTCCCAGTGGAATCCTTATGACTGCCCTGTTATAAAAGAGGAAATGGCTCAGCATGGTAGCATGACCTGTGCAGGTCCTGCCGCCAGGTGTTGCTGGAGCTGCAGTCGGAGGCTGAGCTTGCCTGCTCGCTCAGTGTGGCTTCTGAGGGGCCGTGGGGCCTGCGAGTGGGTCTGGTCGTGTTTGGGGCTCCAGTTCCTTCCCTGTGATGCCGCTCTGGAAGCCCCCCAGGACTGGAGTTACAGTGCTGGCCACTGTGGCGGCGGTTATATCTGTGACACTGACACGAGGCAGGGATGGTTCCAGGAGGGAGATTGTCTTGTCCAAAAATGGCCACAGCAGTGTTTCTGGACACTCGCTGTCTGCAGGTGACATCTATTTCCCTCCCGCCTGACCCAGGTCTGGGCCTCATGACCAGGTGGCAGTACTGCTGGGTGACGTCTGAGGCTTGACTGTAAACTGCACTGTGGCTTCCACTTGGTTCTCTCCCATGGGGTGCTTGCCCTGGGAACCCACCCGCCACATCATGAGGAAGCACAGACTCCCGACAGGGGGACCCCAGCCGCCAGCAGCACCAGCCGCCAGTGTGCACGAGCCCCAGGTGGTTCCGAGCCCCAGCCTTCCACCTGCTGAGGTCCTAGATGTGGAGCAGAGCTTTGCTGTCCTCTCTGGGCTCGGTCTGAATTCCCGACCTTCAGAGTCCATGAACATGATCAGTGGTTTTGCACTCCATTAAATGTTAGGGTGGTTTATTCCGCAGCCATTGTAGCTGGGACAGCAGTGACGAAGAGTTTAGGTTTGCTTTCTGCAGGAGGATTCTCCCAGCATCCTCTCTCCACCCAGAGCAGAGTTGTGGCCTCAGCCTTTCTTGCTGAGTGCACTTTCTTGCAAGTGGCACACCTCAGGACGAGTGAGGGCTCCTGTGCCAGGGGATCCTTGACTCTGGGTGACACCTGCAGTTTTGACCTGGCTGCCCTCTCATCCTCCTCATGGCCCTCACTGCTGGCTCAGAGCCTGTTGACATGTCCCACTGCCCAGAGAAGCAGCTCGGCAGTCAGGGCGGAAGCCTCCTCTGTGTGCATGCTGGGCAGGTCAGATCAGGCAACCTTCATCCCAAGGGGGCTTCTGGCCCCATAGCTGAGAGGTGGACCCTTGTGTCCTGCCATCCTGGTTCCCTACCACAGCCACCCCCAGCAGGCCTGTCCATTCCTCTGCCCTGGGGTGACCCTGTCTGAATCTCCACATCCTGAGCCCTCGGGAGACAAGGCTCAGTTGTAACAGAGCAGTGGTGGCGAGGTTGACTGTGTGGGACTGGAGCTGGGGAGTGGCCAGATCTGATTGCGTAAGGCTGCTTCCAGCTGCTCCTGAAATCAATAGGGCACCGGGAGCGAGGCTGACGGGAGTACCTGGCCTTTGCAAGCAAAACCCACCAGACTGCACATTTGACCTTCAGCTCCTCAGCTTCCTTTTGAGTCCCTATCTGATGGTTTTTGAAAATCCATCTGGCAGATACTGCGATCCAAAGTCGCCCAGGGAAACGACACCCCCGTCTGCAAGATCTGCCACTTCCTGCGGAAACGGTCTCGCTGTTGTCAGGGTTGCAGACGCCTGGGGCCGTGGGCAGCCTGAGGCCGGCCCACTCCTCACCCCAGGCCCGTTCTGGGACGAGGAGGGTGGTAGTTTTGAATGCATTTTTATTCCGAGTCTCTGCTCACAACAGTGTGTGGTGTCTTTTTGATGTGAGAGCGTCTCCCATCATTTTTCATCGGCGTCGGGCTTAGTGGAGGGTGGCTTTGGCTGTGGGCCTCTGTGAGTCAGCGCCCCACGCAGCTTCAGAGCCGAGAGTTGGGGAGCCTCTTTGACCAGGTCGGGGGGCCCTCCTGGAACCTTTGCACTTTGTACCCTGTTCCGTCCCTGGCTGTGGTATGCAGGGAGGGGCGCTCAGCCTTCCCAGGGCCATACCCACATCTTGTGTGAGAGATGGATGTGGGTATGGTGGGAGGGTTTGCACATGTATGGTGTATGCGTGGGGGGCTGTGTGTGCATATGGAGTGCATACCTGTGTGTGGTGTGGTGCATGTGGAGGGGTGGGTAGGTTTGGATGTGATGTGGAGAGGACGTATGTGGAGAGTGTGTGTGAGGTGTGTGATGCATGTAGAGTATGTTGCGTGTGGGGGGCATTGCTGTGTTTGTGGTGTGTGTGGTGTGTAGGGTGTTTGTGATGGGGTGTGTGTGTGGTGTGTAGGTTTTTTGTGATGGGTGTGTGTGTGGCGTGTAGGTTGTGATGGGAGTGTGTGTGTGCTGTGTTGTGTGTAGGTGTGTGTGGTGTGTAGGGTGCATGTGAGGGAGTGTATGTGGGCATGTGTGTGCTGTGTTGTGCGTGTGTGTGTGGTGTGTAGGGTGTTTGTGATGAGGGTGTGTGTGTGTAGTAGGTAGGGTGTTTGTGATGGTGTGGTGGGTGTGTGTGGGTGTGTGAGTAGTGTGTAGGGTGTTTGTGATGAGGGTGTGGTGGGTGTGAGTGTGCTGTGTTGTGTGCAGGTGTGTGTGGTGTGTAGGATGTTTG